CCCCAAAACCCCAAAACCCCAAAACCCCAAAACCCCTTTTCAATTTTTTTATTTTGAAGAGATTTTAATGGCATAAGCAAGCAAGGTTATATTTTTGAACTTGTTTTTTCTAAGTCACTCCTGTAGTAGAAGAGGACGTAAGGAGAGCTTCCAGAGTTGCTAGGTTCTGTTACTTTGCTGACGAAGGAGTCGTCGCAGTGGTACCACTTCTTGTCTCCAGGTACATTCTTAGTATCTGCGACGTAATGCCCTCCACTCATGTACCCTGAGTGATGTGATATTCCATACAGATGGTATGTCATCTTTGAGCTACTGATTTCTTCATTGTCGCTATAAGGTTCTAAATCCAGATCTTTTATCGGGAATTTCACACTGGTATTAATCTTGTCTCTCCTCCACGAGGAGTAATGGAACCTTTTCAAGTGAATTCATAGTAATGGAGGAAAACGGTAGATCCTCATTCTTTTCGTAATTTCTGTGGTCTTCTTACACTTTTCACACTTGTAGCCGCAATCCTTATCAAACTTCTCTTCACTAGTAAATTCATTCAGACATTTTTCAAGTGTGACAGAACTTGTTCTAGAGTACAAGGATCTTGATCTGTCCTCGGGAATTGATAAGGAAAGATCCATAAAGCTATCGAATGCAAGAGACTGATGACCGCAAAGGTGTCACTCTGTAATGCTGACAAGCTGGCCTTGGAACATATCAGTGATATGGCTATCCTCTCTTCCGAGGAAGTATTTCCACCATGCTTCTGCTTGCTCGTGTTTGGTCTCTTTTGCAAATTTCAATTCTTTGTATTTCTGTTTCTTTGTTATTCTATTTAAATCTGCACTGAGGCCATCTAGAGCAAATCTAAGGAATTCTTGAGAATCCTGCTGGCCATATCCAATGAACTGTGAGTTGAATCTTCCTACTAAGGATTTAAAATCGGAGACTGCCATCCTGCTGACACTGCCGCTTTTGGCGCTCTTGACTAAGGAGGCATAAGCTTCTGCTAGTCTGCCCTTAGTCTTACTCTTCGTATTTAATTCATCCTCATGAGCATCTTTCAGAAAATATTCATTGAGACCAGGAGATGCGAAGAGGCACTGAAGGATCGAATTCATGAATCATGTGTTCCCAATATTAGGTAGTCCAGCTACCTTTGAGAGGTACACTGGCTTGTAATCATTACTAGTACTACCTATAACAATGTCAACATTCTTGCTCATTTAATGGACTCAATCAAAATTTTGAAAAGAACTAATTTCAGAACAAATATTTCATTGTACTTTTTCGACAAAAGTACTTGGAATCCAATTTTCGTATCTAAAAGTTGGAGAAAACTCTGATTTCAGAGTTTCTACCTGGCTCCAGAAAATTAGTGGGCAAATTTTCAAAATTCAGCTTAGGTTAGATGATCCTATTAAAACGAAAGTTTTCACCTACCATATTCAATCTTGGACTTCTTCACAACTTCTGGTTTCTCTATAGAAGGGTTAGAAATATATTCTCTTGAGAATTGAGAAAGGAATGAAAGTCTAGACACCTAACAATTCTTCAGATGCTTACTGTAGTCCTCCTCCGCTCTTGTAGAAGCTTCTGTGCTATCTCTATTGACTCGAATTTTCGATGAGAAGTTGCTTGTACCTGTTGAATTCCCATACAAGCTTGAAGTGGGGTTCGTCGTAATCCCTGATGGCCTCTTCACAGACGAATTGAACATCTGATTAATGCTATCCTTCAAGGAGTCCACCGGCTTTATATCCCTAAGAATGTTCTGAGGAAGCTCGTTCTTTTTGTAACTTGACCCATTCCGCATTTGCTTTTCTTTTAAAGTATCTGTAGTCTCACGGATAATTATCCTCGATGCTCTCTTGCCAGAGGTTCTTGAGAGAGATGAAGACCCTGGCATTCTATAACCAGATGATGGCTTATTGCTTCCTCCTTTGTAGGAATCAGTAGCCTTGTTAGAGTTGTTTGTATTCCTCATCCTAGAGGCAGAATCAAGTCTTCTCATTGCAGATCTTTTTCTAACCTTTTTACTAGCTGCTCTTGATGGAGGTTTATTAGACACATTGTTAGTATTGAACCTCATTCCTCCTCCAAATGTGAATGGCTTAGGCTTGTACATTTTTTAGAATATATATAGTTTGAATTCAACTATTATATTAATTATTGGGGTTTTGGGGTTTTGGGGTTTTGGGGTTTTGGGGTTTTGGGG